TTCCCTTGTTCTGTTCAAATGACAGCTTCTTGGTTTATGTACAGGCTCCTCATGAGTACAATTAAGTGTTCTGGAATTCCCATTCTTCTCAATGTTATCCATAATATGTTATGATTCACACAATCAAATGCTTTTTGCATAGTCAATAAAACACAAGTAAACACCTTTCTGGTATTCTTTGCTTTGAGCCAAGGTCCATCTGACATTAGCAATGATATCCCTTGTTCCATATCCTCTTCTAAATCCAGCTTGCATTTCTGGAAGTTCTCTGTCAGTATACTGCTACAACCATTTTTGAATTATGTTCAGTAAGATTTTACTTGTGTGCGATATTAATGATATTGTTCAATAATTTCCACATTCTGTGGGGTCACCTTTCTTTGGAATGGGTACAAATATGGATTTCTTCCAGTCAATTGGCCAAGTATCTGTCTTCCAAATCCCCTGATATAGCTGAGTGAGTGCCTCTAGTGTGGCATCCATTTGTTGAAACATCTCAGTGGGTGTGGTAGTTAAGTTCATGTGTCAGCTTGGCTGGGCCCAGTTGAATGGCTGGGCAGCTGGATGTAATTATTCCCCATGGTGAAATCTATTGGTGCAGCTGATTAGCTGCTTTAGGGATGTGGTCTGCTTCCGTTATATAAGAAACAGCTTTGGGAATGGTCTCTAGCCTTTTGTTTGAACCCTTCATGTAGCCAAGTCATTGTTCAACAACCTGCCATGCCCTGCCGATCTTGGGACTTCATCTGAACTTGAATCAGTGGCCTGCCATGTTGTTTTTTAACATTGGGACTGGGTCTTTTTACTTTCAACCTTGGGTTTGTCAGCCTCAGCAACCAGAAGCTGTCTGAGTGAAGAAAAGCCTCCAGCTTCAGTGGGCCATGACCAGGAGGCAGAGCTGAAGCCCAAGGTTGAGGGGCTTTCACCCAGCATCCAGAGCCTGGCACTTTGAACTTGGACTTAAAACCTCCAAATTGTAAGAGAATAAACTCCTGTTTGTTTAAGCCATCCCATTTGGTATTTTCTGTTAGACCAGCACAGAGGTAACCAGAACAATGGGTATCCCATCAATTCCTGAAGGCTTGTTTTTCACCATTTCCTTCAGTGCAGCTTTGACTTCTTCCTTCAGTACCATTGGTTCTTGATCATATGCCACCTCCTGAAATTGATGAATATCAACCAATTCTTTTTGGTACAGTGACTCTGTATTCCTTCCATCTTCTTTTGATGTTTTCTGCATCATTCAGTATTTTGCTCACAGAATCTTTCAATATTGCAACTTGAGGCTTGAATTTTTTCTTCAGTTCTTTCAGCTAGAGAAATGCCGAGGGTGGTCTTCTCTTTTGGTTTTCTAACTCCAGGCCTTTGCACATTTCATTATAATAATTGTTGTCTTATTGAGCTGCTATTTGAAATCTTCTGTTCAGCTTTTTTATCTTGTCATCTCTTCCATTTATTTTAGCCACTCTCCATTCAATGGCAAGTTTCAGAGCTTCTTCTGACACCCATTTTGGCGTTTTCTTCCTATCCTGTCATTTTAAGACCTTTTGCTTTCTTCATGGATGATCTTGATGTCATCCCACAATTCCTCTGGTTTTCAGTCATAGGTGTTCAATGCATCAAATCTATTCTTTAGATGGTCTCTAAATTCAGGAGGGATATGTTCAAGGTCGTATTTTGGCTTTCATGGACTTATTTTAATTGTCTTCCACTTGAACTGGAACTTGTATATTAGCAGTTGATAGTCTGTTCCACAGTCAACTCCTGGCCTTGTTTTGGCTGAAGATATTGAGCTTCTCCATTGCCTCTTGCCACAGATGCAGTCGATCTGATTCCTGTGCACTCCATCTGGCAAAGTCCATGTGTGTAGCTGCCATTTGTGTTGTTGAAAAGAAGTATTTGCAATGAATAAGTCGTTGGTCTTGCTAAATTCTATCATGCAATCACCAGCATTATTTTTGTCACCAAGGCCACATTTTCCAACTACCAGTGATTCTTCTTTGTTTCCAACTTTTGCATTCTAATCACCAGTGATAATTAGCACATCTTGATTGCAAGTTCAGTCAATTTCAGTCTGCAGAAGGTGGTAAAAATCTTCAGTTTCCTCATCTTTGGCTTTGGTGGTTGGTGCATAAATTTGAATAGTAGTAGTATTAACTGGCATGCCTTATACACAAAAATGCAACCATTACCATGAAGTCAGACCTGACTCATAGCTACCCCTCCTTGGGTTTCCGAGGTGGTATCACTACAGAATTAGGTTGCCCAACCTTCCATCCAAGGAATGGCCAGTGGGTTTGAACCTCCGGCCTTTTGGTTAGCAGCCAAGTGCCTTAGGCACTACGCTAAATGTATGGATATTATTCTATCACTGATAGCATTGTATTTCAGGATAGATATTGAAACATTATTTGTGGTGATGAATGCCACTCCATTCCTCTTCAGTTTGCTCTCATTCCCAGCATAGTAGATCATATGGTTGTCTGATTCAAAATGGCTAAACTGGTCCATTTCAGCTCACTAATGTGTAGAATAACAATCTTTATCCACTCCATTTCATTTTTGACAACTTCCAATTTTCCTGGATATATGCTTTGTACATTCCGTGTTCTGATTATTAATGGATTTTACAAGTGTCTCTCCTCAATTTGAGTCATGCCACATCAGCAAATGTAGGTTCTGAAAGCTTTTCTTTATCCATATCATTAAGGTTGGTTCTACTCTGATGAGGCAGCTCTTTCCTAGTTGTGTTTTTAGCATCTTCTGACCTGAGGGGACCATCTTCCAGCACTGTATCAGACGATGTTTCAGGGCTATTCATAAAGTTTTCCAATAATGTATCAGACAGTGTTTCTCTGCTATTCATATGGTTTTTCCTGACCAATTCTTTGAGAAGTAGATGGGCTCTTCCATCTTCTTAGTCTGTCTCAGTCTAGAAGCTCCACTGAAACCCATTCACCATGGGGAACCCTGCTGGCATTTGAAACACTGGTGGCACAGCCTCCAGGCTTACAGCAACACACAAGCCATCACAGTAGGACAAACTGACAGATGAGTTCATCTCTCTTAGCTGTTCCAAACTTCTCTGCCCACTTTCTGGTCTTTCCCCTACCTGTTTTGGTCATTGGCCCTGGATTTTTCCCTCTTCCTGTCTGGGAGGAAACTCTCCCTCTCCTTAACTGGATCTGGCCATTGGCCCTAGCTTCTTTCCACAGCTTCCTGACATGGGTGGGTTCTCTCCTGCCCCTTACCTGCATTGGGACCATCGGCTCTGGCTTTATATCATGGGATATTATATTTTATAACAAGGATTCTTTCTTCCTGTTGCTATGTAGCATTAGAAAAAAATTGTTATAGTTGTTGTTAGTTAGTTATTATTGAGTAGGGGGCAACTCAAACTTTCATGTTAATATTGTGCTTAACTAGCTGTTACCCAATTTGTCTACTTCCATCACGCCATTGAATCCCAAAAGAGGCAACAAAGCAAAACAAAAATCAACCAAGCATTAGGCAAAAGTAATATTGGTCAGTGGTGTGCTGGAACTCAAGGGGTACTCATGGAGATATTTCCAGAAGGTATTAGAAGATTTCTGGACATCCTCAATGGTGGCTTCTCTTTTTGTTGGTTTTCAATCTAGCACTATTTCTCTGTGTGCATCTATTTTGGAGACATAATTTCTTCCTTTACCACCTGTCAGTTTTTGTGTTATGGTGGCTTGCATGATGCTATGATGCTAGATATTATGCCACCAGGGGTTCAAATGCTGATAGGGTCACTCATGATGGACAAGATTCAGTGGAGCTTCCAGACTAAGACAGACTAGAAAAGGCCTGGGTCTACTTTCAACAATCAGCCAATGAAAAACCTATGGATCACAACAGAATATTGTCTAACATAGTGCTTGAAGATGAGTCCCTAGGTTGGAAGGTGCTATATAGTAGCTGCAAAATGGGCTCAAATGTGCCAAAGATCATGAAGATGGCTCAGGACTGGGCAAGTTTTGTTATGCTGTGCATAGAACAAATTGGATAACAACTAGTTAAGCACAATCTTAACATGAAAGTTTGAAGAATTCATGAGTTGTTTAGTGATGTTTGTCATTATTATGTGCCACCACGTTGATTCCAATCTATACTTATAGGTAGTGGCCCTATAAGTAGTGATGTCTAACTGGTATTTCTATGAGGGTGACCAGAGAAAGTTTGAGTCATCAACAAAACTAGGATAGTTTAACAACTTGTAAGTTAAGACAAGAACACATAAGAAAATTCTGAGAAGTGCTATTTAGATGGAATAGATGGAAGATAATAAAAAAGTGGATGAGCAGAAAAGGAGTGGTCAGGTGGATAATACAGGGACCAGGAGAATATAATAAATACCCTGAGAATAAAGAAAATTCTGCAAACATTGGTCTGTCTAAAAATATGAGATTCAGCAAGAGAATCACGAGGGATGAAATTTGGGAAAGATAATTTAATTTGGCAATTGACTTGACATTGAACACCTTTGAAGGGAAACTGTAACTAAATTGGTTGAATTAATCTTTCTTAAATGGAGTAGGAAAAAAACGGTGATGCTATGGAAGAAATTTAGGGGAATGTCAATAGCTTTATGTCTCACACTGAATAATGGATAAGATAGCATCACATGAGTGAAATTTACTTAAATGTTTATTTTTATTTGCAACAGAATAAAATTATTTGTTCTATGACACTCATTCTTTTAAGGAATATTATTTTAAGTAGTGGAAACCTATGCCATAAAAAAACTTTTCATATAATTTAGTAGCTTAATATGATGTAATCTTGATCATATTCATATCCAAACTGATTCAAATCCCGAATTCAAATTCACAAGGAAATACATTTGGTTGTATGTATTGTTTCTGGATATGAAGATACCTATAACTTTTGTCAGGTATCTAGTGACTTCATAGATTTCACTTGAAAAAAAAATTAAGCACTTATCATTTGGTTTTTATATGTATTTTGTTTAATAGAATATAAAGGAACAAGAAGGGATTTCAGAAATTATGATAAACCCTGGCAACTAAATGCGAAGAAGCCTAAAAAGTCGAAAAGTGACATTGCTGTGTCTAATATTTCTCCACCATCATCGGAATCCAAAGCATGTAAGGAAGCTTGTTATTCACATGTTACTTAATGCATGTAAGTCTGTGTTATCAACAAAATGAAGGGATGGTAAGAATTGACGCCACACTTTCATCTGAGATTTCTAGCTACTAATCCTAATGAGGAGCTCTGGTAGCATAGTGCCTAAGGCACTTGACTGCTTATCAGAAGGCTGGCGGTTCAAACCCACCAGCCACTCCTTGGAAGGAAGGTTGGGCAATCCTACTTCCGTAGTGACACTGCCTCGAAAACCCAAGGAGGGGTCGCTATGAGTCAGGGCTGACTCGACGGCAAATAACGACAACAAATCTAATGAATTTCACTTTCATTTTAGCATTAACATTGAGTTTTATTTATGTATATATAATAATCTTATTATTACATGGGTAATTGATTTAGATCTTTTAAAATATAATATCGCATTAAATTTGTAAAGTGCATGGAGCAGGCCCCTTGCCTCTCATGACCGGTTGTAGCCTTGTATCATATTCAAAAGCAGTGCTATTCCTGCTGTTTATTCAGTACATAAAAACAAATTAAATCTTTTGGAGAAGAAGCAAAGGAAATTTCTATTCATAACATTTAACTAAGTTAAAAAAATTAAACAACAAACAGTCCTTCAGCTGAACCTCCCTCCCCACTAATTTTTTATGACAGAAGTCCATATAACGTTTCTCTCTCCCATTGCCCAAAGTACCCCTTCTTCATCAATTGTCCTTTTTTCCCACTGCCTTAATAGACTTTGAGTATATTGATGCTTTGCTTCTACTGTATGCTTATAAATACACCATCTAGTGCAGGACTCTATGCAGGTCAGTTTTCCTTGGAAAACAGGAAGATTGAAAGCTGCTCTTTTTATACTTTAGTTTTTTGTACTTGTTACAGAGTAAGCTGTTTGATTTTAATTTCAACAGAGCAATGGGTAGGTAAAAGATATTGTACTGAATGAAATAAGTGAATCACAGGAGGACAAATATTTTGTTAGTCCACTATTGTATACAGTCAAGGAAAGGTTTACACATGGAAGGAAACTTTGTTTGTTACCAGGGATAAGAGGGGAGGGGAGGAAAAATTTCTAGATAAGCAAAAGACAAGTATTGATTTGGGTGAAGGGAAAAGCAGTATACCAAAAGTGAGTGACCAGAACAACAACACTAAGGAAAAGGAAGACACAGAGAGGTGTACACAAGGTACAGACAACAAAAATAAATACTTTTACATACATAATACTGGATTATCAATAATAACAAACTTTAATCTGTGCATGCAACATAATTAGGCTGAATGATCAGGTATGCTTAGGCAAAAAGGAATAAACCAATAAGTTTGGGAGATGATATTTCTACATACTTATTTGTATGTGCTAGAAGAATGCCCATATATATAATAGAGCTAGCAGGGGGCAGAGTTATGATAACTTCTTAGCCACAGCCAACCACCCTGAGGAAGCAAGCTTTTGGGCCTGTGGGCACAGAATCATGCTTGCGGGGACCTCAAGCTCAATTGACATAATATACTACACAAAAGCATTGTTCTACACCCCACTTTGACGTGTAGCTACTAGGGTCTTAAAAACTTGCCCATGGCCATCTGGGTTGCAACAATTGATCTCTCCTCATCCAGAGCAAAGAACAGTGAAGAAAACCAAAGACTTGTGGAAACATCTAGTCCAACACACTAGTGGACCATGCAAACCTTAGTCTACTTGACCATGAGACCCGAAGAACTAGATAGTGCCTGACTGCCACTGTCAAAAGGATCAGTATGGGAGATCCTGGATAGTTGGGGAGAAAAATGTGGAACCAAACTCAAAATCATAAAGGCCATGCTTACTGGTCTGATAGAAACTAGTTAAACCCCTGAGAGTAGAGACTCTAGTCATCCTTTTGGCCTGGATTAAACCCATTCATATGGCTTCCAGGAGCTCTGGTAGCATGGTGCCTAAGGCATTTGACCGCTAACCCAGAAGGCTGGTGGTTCATACTCACCAGCCAATCCTTGGATGGAAGATTGGGTTATCTACTTCCTTAGTGATACCGCTTTGGAAACCCACAGAGGGGTTGCTATGAGTCAGATCTGACTTGACGGCAGTGAGTTTGTGTAAGTTTTGCATGTGGCTTCCAGCCAAACAATAAACAGATGTATGAGGTGAATATTTATACCAGGTAGGTACACTCCTTAGAATAAACAACCATGGGAGATCAGAAGGGCAGTATTTTCACAGGGAGATAGCTCAGAGGGCAGGAAGACATAGGAAAGAAGGGCACAGGGAAAGGGTAGCCAGAGCAAGGAGGTGGGAAGAGAACTGTTATATTATGGGGATTACGATCAATGTCATGAAACAAAATGTGTATGAACTATTGAATGGAAAATATGGAAAATGAATTTGCTCTGAAAACTTTTATCCAAATCACTTTCTTGGATTCTATCCCTTTGAATAGAAAATGGTAAAAAGCCTAATTGTTTTGCAGTATCTACCTTCTTTAGGAGTTGCTTCCTAGCCTCAGAGTTCAATTGGTAGTTTGGAACTTGATAATATCCCTATCTGTTCATGTGACCTAATCCTAACTTTTGGTTCCAAAGAATGTTAGCTTTTTTAAAGCAAAAATAATAATAAAGTACCATGAATTTTTTTATAGCATATGTAGAAATAAAATACAGCATGTGGCATTGATAATAAAATGGATTCAGTATTAATTAGAAATATATTGTTAAGAAGATGTTAGACTTCATGAATAAATGGAGTCTTTTGAGTATAGACTGTGATGGATTAAAAGTACATATTGCAGAGAAGAGTGTTCAGCCAGGGGGCAGTTTAAGCATAGGTCTGAAACAAGGCGGGCTTGTGCTTACTCACTGATCTGCACTGAACACGTTCCCTTGTTACCCTACCGAGAGGGACC